TAGAATATAAATAATATAATCAATATACATTGAATAATCTTTGTATTTTATAAAATAATACTATCTAATTTGTCTAATTTGTTTCTGAAAAACATATTTAGACCATTTCGACTACTATAATTACTATAAATAGTGTAAGTAGATTATCAGTACTTATAGCAAACAAATCCTTCAGAGCTATCTCAGTTCATATCAACTACACTGGAAATCCCCTTTGATACTTTAAGCCAATTAAACTTGCACTCAACTGGCTACTATTTATAGTTGGTAAATGCAAAGAACCCAACTAGCGGGCTCAACAATCCGGAACTAGTTAATGCAAACGAAAAGTTTTGCATGAACAGGGCGCAGAGTACTCACATGAAAGGTGGCCGCATTGTTGAAGGCCAGGGACAGGGCGGCCATCACACCGCAGAGGACCAGGACCAGTGCGACGACGCCCAGCACGGAGAAGCGCTGCAGCTTGAGGGTGTAGCGCTGATAGAGGCATTCCAGTTCATCGTTCTCGAAGCGCAGCGTGTTGAGCGGGCGGCCGCGCGTCGCCTTGACGGCATGATCCATGCGGCTGCCGTCGCCGCCGCCGCCGAGCGGCTGCTCTCCAACGGTCTGCCAAGTTCAAGGGCTGCAATTGAACGTAAACAAGAAATTTGTTGCGTGAATTCATTTATTTGCATTGGTTTTAAACACCATTAGCCCCTCGCTCCCTCTCCCCACCTCTTTCTCTCTCTCTCTCTCTCTCTCTCTCTCTCTCTCTCATTCTTTTAATTGCTGCGCTGCGACCTTGAAATGTTGCACGTTCGTTCGCTGGGTGAAATGTTTTGGCATTTTCCGTGGCACGCAATCACTGGGTAGGAAAATGTGCCGCCTGCTAGCCGGCACCACTTAAAATAACATTCTCATTTCAAAAACCCTTCGCCAGTCGGCCCCCGCTAACTTCACGCCAGCTGAAAATAACCGCTAAAAATAAGCAGCTCAGCAGCTCTGTGGCTGCTTTCTGGCGTGAAATCAATCAATGTTCATGTCCGTTCGGTCAGCTTTTCTCATTTCTCGTTTTCGTTTCGTATAAGTATATATGTATATTCTTTTATACACATATACATATACATATGTATATTTGCGTGCCACGCCCACGCCCATGACACAAGCGCCCAGGCGGGCCACATACTTATGCCCGCTGCTGCGGCGACAGAAGATAAATGATGATTTGTATGCGGCAATCCGTTAAATTCATTAAAATATTATGCACAAATTCATTTAGCGAATGCTCAAAAGTACTCGCACATAAAGTATCCGACAAGTCAGCGTAAACAGCATGGAATACCAGAGATGTGCACAGAAATAGACGAGAGCAGCAAGCTCGACTAGAAGATACCCAATGAAGAAGTAATTGAAGGCGAGGCGTTAAGCAAAAATTGCAATTGAATTAACTGGACAAAAATATTGTATTTGAGCTTCTATATGAAAGAGAAGATCTTGTTTGAGTGCGCTGGCAGGCAGTGCACGACTAGAAGATACCCATTGCAGAACTAACTGGTAGTGATATTTTGGCAAATATTGCAGTTGAACTAACTAGTCAAATATATTGCATATAGGCTTATATATGAAAGAGAAGATCTTATAAGAGTGCGCTAATTCCCTCGACTAAGAGATACCCCTTGGAAAAGTAATTGAAGTCGAGGTGCTAAGCAAATATTGCAACTGAAATAACTGGAAAAAAATATTGTATTTAAGCTTTTATATGAAAGAGAAGATCTTGTAAGAGTGAGCTAATAGGGAGTGCTCGACTGGAAGATACCCTTTACGGATCTAACTGGAAGTGATATGTTAGCAAATATTCAAGTTGAACTAACTAGGCAAATATATTGCATATAAGCTTGCATATGAAAGAGATCTTGTAAGAGTGAGCTAATAGGGAGTGCTCGAATGGAAGACACCCTTTACGGATCTAACTGGAAGTGATATGTTAGCAAATATTCAAGTTGAACTAACTAGGCAAATATATTGCATATAAGCTTGCATATGAAAGAGAAGATCTTGTAAGAGTGAGCTAATAGGGAGTGCTCGACTGGAAGATACCCTTTACGGATCTAACTGGAAGTGATATTTTAGCAAATATTCAAGTTGAACTAACTAGGCAAATATACTATATCAGCTGACAGGCAGTGCTTGACTAGAAGATATCCATTGTGGAGCTAACTAAAGGCAGTTGGCATATATTAGAGCTATTGGAGTTTGCATAAGGGTAATAAAAGCATATAAAAGTATGCTCGACATGGAGATACCCTGACTTAACTATCTCAAATTTAAAACAGAGAAAAATCAACCATTTTTGCAATCTGTGTATTCATTACGTAAAAATCCAAACTCAATGTGCTATATAAGGCCTTTGGGATTTTCAAGTTCGGGTTCAAATACTAGCTCAAATATCAATATTTAACTATATGTATAGATAGTTAAGTAATCAACTGGAATATGGATACAACAAAAAGAAAACATATATTAAAATTAATATTCTATAGCTTTGCCATGTACTCGTATACTCGCAACAAACAAATGAATCGACAGATAGGCAAACAGACAGTTTTAGTATGTACGGCATATACTACTTACAGCCACGCCTCCTTCTGCCTGTTACACACAATCGCACAAGATAATTATACATCTTATACACATTCTCAACGAGCTCAGGGCATGCAAAGAGATCACAAGAGATGCACAAAGTAATTCAAGCAACCGAGAGATCAGGGCTCAAATTCCAGCAAGAAGCAATACGATGATAATTATTATGCATTATATAGACATCTAAATATACACATGTATATACATCTTACTTGCATAATAACCACACCGATTACTTTGCCAATACCAAAATTCGCATTTAGTCTTTTAATACTTCATAATCTCTTTGATGCGTTTCGCTGACAATTAACGGAATCTAATTGTACAGTTGAAATGAGTTCATTGACGACAGCAATTAAATGAACTGAAGCACCTCGGCAATTTATTAGACACATAAATATGCAGGTTAATATTAATAATAAACAAAGAAAATATTTCACGAAACCACACGAATTTCATTTGACGCAAATTTATAAAATGCGGTGTGAAATATTTACAATTGCATAACTCAAATACATTTTGAAACAAGTCGGGCACTTGCCGTGCCGCAAATAGAATTATTGGACAAGCCCACACGCACAAGCACACACGCACACACACACACACACACACATACATCCGCAAGCATTATAGAATGGGTAGAAAAGTTTTGGATTTGCTTTGGAGGCGGTTGGCTGCTTGGTTCAGGGGAAGGCGAGCCACAAAATATAACAAAAACAAACAAACATTAAGTATGTGAATATGTGAATATAAATTAAAAATATTCACGTCCTAAAATCATAATCATAAATGCCGAGAAATTGCAAAATGCGCGCACATCGAAATTATTAAAGCTGCCAAATAGGTAAGAAATCGTCGAGCGAGCGGAAAAGATAGACAACAAACAAACGCAAACGCCACGGGCAAATAGTCAGAGTCAGATATTACAGTAGTACAGTAGTACTACATTGTAGTACATTGCAAGCCCCACAGCCCCACAGCTCCAGCCCCTGCCCCAACCCCAGGCCCAGATCGAAGCAACTGTTCAAATAGTAGCAGCTCGCAAATGTTTCGATATGGCGATATATAAAACAACATATGAGCTAAGCTGATATATAGATAATACCTCGCAAAATTCTCTGGCGAAGTTCAACGAATTGTTGAACCGAATCGAGTTGGAGCCAAGCTCAAATATTGATTAATTAGTATAGACAGCATAAATAAGCCGAGTAGCGAATTGTACGAGAAACAAATAACGCAACACACGCAGAGCAACAAAACAAATGAACTTGGCCAGAGAAGCGCATAGAAAACTGCAGAGAGAGGCAAGTCGAAAGGCAAAGCGAGAACCAGGTCAGTATTAAAGAAATCAACTAAAGAGAAAACTAAAACTCAAGCGAGAACCAAGGTTCAAGGTGACGCCTGGTGAAGGCAGCCATAGAAGCAAACTAGAAGTCAAATGTGAAAAGCTAAGCTCAAAAGAAAATAGAAATAAAAATCAAAATTAAGTTAAAATACAAACTAGCTAGTTTATGGCCAGTAGATAAGTGAGTTTACGTTTTAGTCAGAGTTGACAAAAATGCACTTAAATTTCATTCATAAAACAAAAGATGAAAACAAATTTAAGAAAAGTGGGCAAAGAAAAAAAAATTTTTTTTTTTTTACGAGGTACTTTAACAGCAAGACCTGATAGTCACCCTTTCAAGTCTCAATTTGTCGTAGATATATATCTAGATAGATAGATGGATAGACAGATAGAGAAAGATAGATAGGTAGCAGATAATAACATATAGGATAGATAACTAGATAATTCGAGTTTTGCAAAATAGTTTTATATGAATTTAAAGTAATTCCAATAAGCTCAATTCCGATGATAGTACGACTGTTTAATATTAACTTATTTGCAGTCTCTAAATGATGATGATGATGATGATGATGCTGTTGATATTTTCCAACTCATTTAAATGCATGCAACTAATAGCTCTCTGGGCACACAATGTAATGGGGGGATTGATTGCTGTTTGCTAAATGGCGTCATCTAACGGTGATCTGTTTGCCGCTGGTGACATCTAGTCGAGCATTACATTATAAAGTGACTTGCCAAAAATCGCATGATGTTCTTGCCAGTCTTGTGGACACGCGCAATTTGGTTGACCAGCAAGTTCTTGGCAGCAATGCGGCTCCCTCTATCCGGTCCGGTCCGCCCACACAGCAACAGCAACAAAAGCATTTTTAAATAATCAGAAAAAAAAACAAGTAAGAAAGCTCTAGTCGAGACTGCTCGACTACGAGATCCCCTGAACCCTTGGAGCAATAGATATTTCAATAATTTTTCGCGTCTTTCAGCTTACACAAGAAACACGCACACACACACACACAGGCACGTACGCACACACAGGCATACATACACACACACGCATACAGACACACAAACTCAGCTCGTCACCCTGATCAAGAATATATATACTTTGTGGGGTCTGCCACGCCTCCTTCTCCCTGTTACATACATTTCAACAAAACCATTATACCCTGATTTCCCATTTTCAATGGGTTCAGGGTATAAAAAGAAAAAAACGAGAAACAAGAACAAAGAAAGGCAAAAATCAAAAACAGAAAGTAAAAGAAAATGGTTAGGCAAAAACCGAATGTCAGAAAAACACGAAAATTTCTTGTGATTTTCAATGTTTCCGCTTTGATGGATGCATGTGAGCAGCTTCTACGGGGCGCTTAATGAATTTCTTTGCCAAGAAAAAAAAATCAAAACGGACGTTTACTCAATTAAAGGCCACGCCCTCCTGCCAGCCGGGGGGGAGGGCTTCGGGGCTGTCAATCAATGGCGACAAAATTGCAAATGCAGCGTCATGTAAAAGTCTTCAATTAGAATTTTGCACAGATTTCTGATTGCAGATTTTTCGATTTTACGATTTTGTCGATTTGTCGTCTGTCCGACTGTTTGAACAGTA